ACGCTTAAGAAAGCACGCTGTGCTGGGTGTGATACAGGTGTCTGAAACAGTCCCTGTGTCACACAGCCCCCCCTGTGGGTGGTGTCCCACCGCCGTCCCCAGGTGGCGACCGTGCCTTGGTTCCGCTCTCCACATTTCCTTTTGGATCTGTGGAGAGGTTCCCCTCAGCTGTGGCCGTTATTGAGGGTGGCGGTTTCCTGGGTCCCTTTCCCTTACGTAACACACTTCCTCCCTTCCCTTTCGAGGCAGGAGTAAAGTGTGTCCGTTTGCCCCTTACCTGTGCCTTACCTCCTTTCCCGAGTGGCACTGGTGATTCCTCAGCCTTCCTCTTCCCAGATTTTTGAGGTGTGGATTNTTTCCCAGTTTTTTGAGGTGTGGGTTTTTTCACATCCTTCCGGGCTGGTGGCTGCTTGGCAACATAATCTGTGAAGCAAACTCTGCCCATTCCAAAATATGGACTGCGCTTCAGTTCCTCCAGTTTGACCATGCTGTTTTCGTCCACACTTAGAAACAGAGTTTGTCCTTTCGGGCCAACCTCTGTCTCATGGTGGACTTTCCAGATCGCCGTGTTCAGCCCTGGGTTTTGTTTTACCAAAATTTCCAAGATCTTCTTGGACTCTTTTGGCAGCCCTGGTATGTGAGTGACCATCCGTTTATACTTGATCGGGTTGAAGGCTTCCAAATGGAGTTCTGCACCGTCCCAAGGTTTTATCAAGTTGACATGGTCAGTGAGCCACTTAAGAGAGCTCTCTTGGGCTGCACTGATCACAAGTGCTCCATCAGTGAGTCTGGTGTCTTCAAACCTTGGTACGTCGGTTCCATCAGTACCCGACAGTATCAAGTCTCCAACACAAGACTCAATGAGTAGCCCCTGCTCTGTGGTCAACTTGTTAGTGGGGTAGCCTGCGAGGACCAGAGCCACTTTTTTATCATCGGTTACCACGTCCCTGTAGGTCGGTACCCAATGAGTTTTCTTACATGGAGGTTCTTGCCCCTTGTCCTCAGGTTTTTGAGCTTCGGTTCCCTTTGACTTTTTCAAGTCATCGGTTCCCTTGTCTCCCTCCTTTGGTAGGTTCTTCTGCCCCTCCATGTTTGCTCGGCTCCTCTTCAGCTTGCGCCTCTGACTGCCGCTCAATTTCTCAGGTCTAAGTTTTAGACCTTCGATTTTGTCAGCTACTGCTCCCAGTTGATCTTGCGATTCCTGGTCTACATTTTCTGACGTTGCTGTCTCTTTGCTAGTAGACGGTTCACCAAGTGTCCCGTTGTTGGCATTGAGACCTTCAAGTTCGGCGATTCTTCTGCGAAGAGTCGCCAGTTCACGATCTTGTTCCGACAGGTTGTCCGTAGGATCCCTGATCGTCACAAGTTCGTTGTTTTGTGGTTTTTCTATGTTTTTGTCCATATAGTTCCCACAAGAAGTCGAGAAATAAAGGTCCGTCACAGCAGAGCTCGATTTTGTGATAAGGCTGTATACTCTATGGTGCGCCAGGTGCCATAGAGGATCCCAATGGTCACTTTACCTTTCGGCTAACTACCCTGTGACAAGTTAGCAACCCTTTCACTTGGTATGGCTGGGTTAGGGGGGCCTATTCGCTGTTAGCAAGCAGGTATGCCCAGGCCTACCGGTCCCAACTAACCAAAGTCATGACCGGCTAAGAGCAGTGGTACGTGTTGCCACCCCCACTGAAATAACTAGGGTCCGCGGGGTTGTTAGGCCCGTAATCCTTGCGGATTCCCCTGCGGGAGAAATGTTGTTAACAATAATTTTTTTATGAAATATAATATCTTTTCATAATCCGTTTTTCATTTGACATACTTTATCTTAATCAGGATTAAGAATAATCCACCAATTTGTCATTATACTAGATCTAACTATGCCACGTCATCATTGTGCTGCGACCCCCTGTGCTGGGTTTTTTTAATTACATATTTTTTTAACCGCTAATAGTTGAAGAGCTTGCAGCAACAACCACATAAATCAACTTTTTTTCAAAACTCAATTTTTTACGGAAATGTATAAAGGAAATTATTCTTGAAATTCAAACGCAACAACTAGTTAAATCCGATCAATAGTGATGGAGTTATTACTGAAATGGTCTTATCTTGTTTTGTAATTTGCTTCAACAACCATTTATCTGACATTTTTAGAAACTTAAGTTGTTATATAGTATTTATACATAATCAAAGCATTAAAAATCCAAATACATTAAAGAATAAAATTGACTT